CTATTGGCTGTATGATCGTTTTGAACTCTTTCAAGAGCACACTAGTACAAATATTTAATATAAATAAAGACAACAAAACTCATTGGATTTGTCTTAGGTATATCTGGGGAGTGTACTATGTGTCATGGATAGTCTTATTTTAAAAGAATGCCAATGATTACACTTTCACTCTGTATATCCTACACGTATATTTCATCATTAACCCAGACAACAGAAAATCAAATTACATCTGCCTTCGGTCGCTGTGGCGTCAAACTTCGTAGTTTTGGTTATACAACCAAAGTTGTTTATTAAATACCTCCCACATATTCCACAAAGACTAATACTCGTGTAAGTACTAACTAATCAAAGTTTAAATTAACCCTAATTGATTATGAAATCGATAGCTTTACGCTAAAATTAATCTGTAGGTAGCGATTAATAACGTGATCTCAGTGAAACTAAATTAATACTTAATGTGATCCAAAAACGTATGTTTTAGAGGGTGGATTCGACCAAACTAGAATAAATATTAATCTCAGAATAAATCCGACATCTATACTAATCTTTACTTCTATACTAATGCCTACTCGTATTTCGTCTTGCTTTTAAACCACTGAACCGATTTTGATGTTTGGCATAGAGATAGTTTGAGTCCCGGGAAAGGACATAGGATAGTTTTTGTCCCGGTTTTTGAAACAGGGACGCGCGCGATAGAGGTATTGTGTGACAGACAAAATTCCACGCGGGCGAAGCCGCGGACGGAAAGCTAGTTCTGGCATATTCCCCACACTGAAACTGTCAATGTGCTAGTAATACCAGGAGTTATTCTCGGATAAAAGTTTGGTCGAATCGGGCCTAAACAGTTTATTTTATTTAGAGGATTTTTTAATAAATAAAAGACTTCAAACATTTTTCCTTCTGAAAAAAATCCTGGATTTTAAGGTATTTTCGTGCTGGCTATTGGAAATATTCTTGAGTCTGGTCATAAATTTTTCTACACCAACAATGTATGGAATGTTTTCAGCTGAAAATATCTCGAATATCTTTTTTACGTGGGGAGGTTCTTATGTGGAGAAATAACTACAATTCTCCTAGAAGGAGACGGTGATCACGTATTCGCTTTGGATGCTCTACCTGAGGTTTCGCTGATAAGAAAAAAAAATAAAACCGACTCCAAAAAACCTACATTAAAAAGTAGAAAAATAATTACTAATAACCTACTTATTTATTAGGACGAATTAATATATGTAGGCATACCATGATTGATACTTCTGGAGTCGGTGCCAAGATTATGAAACATGTAAAGTTTGCCTGCACCGACTCCAAAAGTATCAATCATGGTATACCTACATAAATATTAATTCGTCCTAATAAATAAGTAGGTTATTAGTAATTATTTTTCTACTTTTTAATGTAGGTTTTTTGGAGTCGGTTTTATTTTTTTTTATAAAATTTTACTTATTTATTGCTTTTTAGTTAACTAATTATTACCTTGATGTTACCACTGAAGGTAGGCAGTACATTGAGACCATACTCTTCATGTCTAGTGTAAAATAATATTCCCTACAAAATACAGGTTACCATATAGGAAACCTAAAAAGACCTTAAACCGTCAGCCCACCTTAAAAACATGAAAGAATACAACTGTTGGTCTATTTGTACTTATAATATTTAAAGAATTATCCTCCAACTCCTAAGCATTAAGGAGTTTTACCTTCTATCATCAGCTCATCAATATGAGATGATGATTTCCAGGAGCAAATATTATGAATAACTTAAGAAAAAGTTTGAAAAACGATATACGTGCCTATAAAATTTGAGGGTTGCTCTCGATTTCCCTAGGATCCCATCATCAGATCCTGACTTGGTGACAATGGGACCACCTCAGAAGTGTACCCTATCGAACAAAAAAAGAATTTTGAAAATCGGTTCATAATTGGCGGAGTTATCGCGTAACAAACATAGAAAAAAAAAAACATACGGGTCGAATTGAGAACCTCCTCCTTTTTTTGAAGTCGGTTGAAAATAGATAGCATAATATGAGCTATATTTGAAACTAGCGGCCACCCGCGACTACGTACGCGTGGATCCCGTTTTAACCCCCTTAGGGGTGGAGTTTCATAAAATCCTTTCTTAGCGGATGCCTACGTCATAACATCTACCTGCATGCCAAATTTCAGCCCGATCCGTCCAGTGGTTTGGGCTGTGCGTTGATAGATCACTATGTCAGTCAGTCAGTCAGTCAGTCACCTTTGAGTTTTATACAATATTTTGATTTTAAAAATATCATTTGATTCCAGAGGAAAAAGCCTCGACTTTTATTGCTAAGTGTATATGTATAACCAGTTTGGTTATAGGTATTTTAGGTTGTAACTAAAAGCACAAAACTTTTATCCCCAACTTTTACCATGAGCATTTAAATAATAAATAGTAATTTATTTCAGACCATTATGATCCATACAGGGTTGTTGTTAGTAATTAGTAGTAGCTAGTGACGGTATAAATAACTGAAAAAAAAAGTTTAAGTAGGTATTAAAGAATGAGCATGCTGTCTTTGCTTCTCGTACTGAAACAGTACCTAAGAACTGAACTACATTCTAGGCCAGGAATAGGCATTACCATATCTTCTAACTAATCTGTCCTTGTCATGTTCGCGCTGGATTAATGAAGAATTTCAAGTAAATTAATTTCAATTTGCTGAAGCTCTTGGGGAAGGAATTTTATTAATTGATATCGCTCTAATGGTTACAATTGTTTGAGGCGAAACTTGATCCCTTTATTTATTTTGTTGTCCTGTCCCGGGGACAATTTGGCGCGATGTACATTGTCCCGTCACCGGGACAATTCGGCACGATGTAATTTGAATGAGAAACGGGATTATTAAATGTTGAAAAATTAGGTGACTTACGTTTAAGGGTTAAATGCTAGTTGATTTATAACTTTAGTAATACAGATTGTTATTTGAGAGGACGTTATTAAGGTGAAAATAGCCCATGGCATTGGACTGCTTTCTATGGTTTGGTAGTAGGTACGGTGGCCATCGAACGTTGGACTAATGTTTTCACCATCAATCCGTAATTTCTAAATAACACATAACAGTAATTTTGTTTTCATATGAGTCACTTAAAATTAGGGATTGATGGTGGAAACGGGCATAAGCCCACTACCAATAAAAGCATAGTATAGTTTGTTGGTTATTGGGTACTTTACTTTATTTTTAATTGGTAGTCAATACCTTTTGGCCGAGAAGTTTAAGAACAATGTTTGCTTAATATACTAGTCGATTTTAATTCCATCGCAGAATACTTCGAAGTCTCCAAGTTCAATACAAAACAAGCTTAAAATACAAGTTCATCGATTTCAATCTATAAATAAATACGAATTTCACATTGTTTGGAGATACTGAATTCCCAATGAGACTAAGACAGGACTAAGTTTGCTCTACTATTAGTTAGTTTAATGCCAATTTAAATATAGACGTGAATCCACTAGTGTTTATAAATCTTTCAAATTATCTTGCTGCTTGATTTCTCGCGTTGTAGATTTCCTTTTAAGTCAGCTATATCTATACTAAGGAGGAATTTCCATGCTATATTTTTACTTGTATATGCATATTTATTCGCCCGTATTCACAAACGATGTTTGCTTAAGTGAAGCAGCAAATCGAACGCACAGCATTGAGTAGAGCTCTGTGATTGGTTCATGTGTCGCCCTGTGCGCCTACGCGCAATGTGAGACCTCATAGTAACGTTTGTGAATACGGGCGATTATCTCTAAAATAGACAAAGACCTTCCAAAGTATGTGACGCGTAATCTGAGGTGAATATATAGCTTCCCTCTTGTGGCCCGGTGTGACGTCACGTCACGCAGCGTGATATTAAATCACGTCACTGTCACGTATCATCGTGCGAGGTACTTTATCAGTACGTCACGGTATTAATATCATCGTAGAGGCACTCTTATTCAGCATTGATAAACGGGAACTATCTCAGGGCCGATTTTTCAATAATAAGATATTTGACTGCAAACTTTTTGTCGGCAGATATTTTAGTCGGGCAGTTAATCAGTATGGGCATGTATGGAAGTGCGCACATTACACCAATTTGGTATTGGCCGATTCTTCATACAAATTGGAATCGGGCGCAACTATCGGCCGACTAAAATCTAATGCTATGCTAAAAAGATAGCCCTTCTAGACAAAAATCATATGGCCAGTCTTACCGATCACATGATAAGTATTATTTAAGTCATCAGTAAACAATTATTGATACAATGTCCGATTTTAGTCGCTGGGTCTCTTGACTTTTTTATCACAATCAACAAAATGTGCATGGAAAATGAAAATGAAAAAAGAGATTTGAAACCCCTATTTTCGTGAGCTCAATTCTATTCGTGTTCCAATAAAAGTATATTAATATCAGCCCTATTATATGGACCAAGAATGTTAAGGATCCCGCATGGAGGCAGAATAAGGCACTCAACATGCAAATTGCTAAACAGAGCCTTCCATGAAATAGACTGGAAGTAGCATGTTTTTATTTCGCTTAAAAAAGCTCCCGTGGAAGCTTCCTTGCCCCGTAGGTGTTGCGAATTGATTTGTGGAAAATTCCAATTTTTCCGGCATTTATAATTAAAAACTGGACGTGGCTTCCCTACCTAAATTATATTTTCCCTATTGGAAGAAACGTTTTGAAAATCAATGTGGAATTTTTCGGCTTTGATTGGTATGTGTGGGCAAAAGTAATATTGGATGTAGGTATGTGGAGCAGATGATGGATTAATGGACCATCTATACAATAAAAGACTTAAGTAAAAGTATCACCATTTCAGAGATACGATTTTTTTATGTTTTTTTAAAATCCCCAATTTGGACGCCCATCTCTGTTTTATTATTATTATTCGTCCTGGAAATTACTTATTTTTACCCAAATCACCTCCCTAAGTTTGGCACGCTTTTTGGGACATCCTGTGTAATGTATAACCGATATTTAATTTTAGGCCTATAAATAGAAACGTACCTTTGACTCCAGCGTCTTTGCCATCGCCGTATCTGACGAATATGAAGTATAACACCATAAGCACCAGCTGGAAGACCAGCAATGGTGCGTATTTCACCCTGGACATCTTCAGCACCATCTTGATGACGTCACTGTTTCTGTGGACAACACAAATACATTTAGGCTGATTGCACTTCCTAACTTTGACCGAAACTTTATCGTTACCCGATGTTTTTTGTATGGAGTATGACAGATTTTTGACGTTTGTCAAAGTTAAAGTAAGATGGTGCAACCAAGCCTTAAGAACCTGGACCAAAAAGGTTGTAACATCATCATCTTATCATCATTACATAATGTTTCCATAACAGTTACACGATTACACGACCCTCTCTAATTTACCAGAAGCAAATAGTGGATTAAGCCTAACTCTCTCCATGATATGCTATTTACTATTTACCTCTTCATTGCCTTTTACGGTAGGGGAAGTGGTTCTATTTTATTCTGCCTTAACCTACTGCTATGTATAGTTAACCAACTGCTTTTATACATTAGATGAATTCTTTAATAGTAAACAAACACTTTTAAGATAAGTACCATCTCATAATGTAAGTTGCTAGACCTAGGTTTAGACTAGTCCTCTCTCACCACTAATATTGCAATACCTACCCATTAACGGGTTATTAAGTTATAAGCTCATTTTTTAGATTAAGACCCAATTGTAAATACTTAATATGCAATAAAAAATTTGAATTTGAATTTAAAACGCGGAACATAAATCAAGTAGTAGTGGACAGTCCACAACGCTCATTATCATAGAGCTGACAACTGTTGGTGTCAAAATGTTTCAACCACATACTTCCAGTAGAGTGGAGTAGAGCTAACACTTGATGGACCGATGACCTGTTGATCTTGCCGGAAAACAGGTAGAAACGACTCAGTTTGCTACCTATTGTAAAGGTACCATATCCAGAACCGAACTTCTAAAGGATTATGAATACTATAATGATGTATAACAACGTTCAACATACTTGATTATCGTCATATTAAAAAGTAAAGACAGTTAACAGGAACCCACACACCCTACTTAATATTTCTCTAAATTAATGAAGAGCGCTGTCTCGAGTAATAATTGCGCTGTCTTGAGTCACAACAATGAACAGTACTGTAGCTGAATTAATTCTTAACAGAGATTTAAATAACATACTAATCTTCATAAACTTTATAAAAATGCATTATCTAAGAAAACTACATATTATCACTATCCAAAGATGTGTCTGCCAAATTATTATTTGCGTTGTTTAGCTGATGATAAAACCCATTTACTTATCTGGTACATCCTTTTATTTCTCTTGTTATCTATGTAAATTGCCCCTTGTAGATTTTGCATAATTTATTTCGTCAGTCATCTGACGTTCTAATTCAGGTCGTAAACGAAAACAAAGCAAACAAAACCATAATTTACCTCTGTAAGTAAATTCTTCGGTCGGATGGAAACACTAAGGCTGGGCTGCACCATAATACTTTAACTTTGACAAACGTCAAAAATCTGTCAAATTCCATACAAAAAGCACAGGTTATCGTCATAGTTGCCGTTAAAGTTAGATGGTACAACTCAGCCTAAAAGTTTTCGAGTACCTACGAATATTTTTGTTCCTCTATGTACCTGTTATTATTACACTAACTATTAGTTTATTAGGTATTTGAATACACGGCTTAGTGTTTCTCAAGTTTCAAGGAAACGTATTAAGTAGATTCTTGCATACCTACTTCTTAAAACTATTAAACTCATATATCATACTAGCGGCCGCCCGCGACTTCGTACGCGTGGATCCCGTTTTATCCCCTTAGGGGTGGAGTTTCGTAAAATCCTTTGTTAGCGGATGCCTACGTCATAACATCTACCTGTAGGCCTAAGATGCGCGCCGCGATAAGCGGTTATCACGCCATTTTATCGATTTTGCCCATACATTTTGACGTCGATAAAAATTATCACGGCGCGCATCTTAGGCCTACTGGACGCCAAATTTCAGCCCGATCCGTCCAATGGATTGGGTTGTGCGTTGATAGGTTGATAGATTCGTTGATACACATAGATTAATCTCTATATCTTTAATTTTAGACTCGTATTGTGCATACCTGTCAATTACGAAAACACAAAAATTCAACCATCAATAGAAATTAAAATCAAAATAATTCCTAAATTCCACGAATCTGTTACCTACAATTTTCTATACCTATAAACTATATAGTTCGCTTGGACGTAATATAATATTCCTTTACCTTAATCATTAAGGTAAACCTTAGAGTAGTTTAGGTCTGAAATGTACACAGAAACTTCAATCTATTGAAGTACTAGTGCCAACCTCAGCAAACCTTATCTACGACTAATTCCATTTAGTACTAAACGTTATTAGAATCTGTTACGATAGATTTAGCTAGATAATGAAAGGCTGGAAATAGGTCTAGAATTTTAAACGAAGGAAAATTATTAGGTCGGCGCGAGAGAAAATTTCCAGTTCTTTTTGGGGAATTTTGCGTTTGGTTATCGTCAATAGAGTTTCGGTTATCAAGTAAATTTTATCCCAACTAATATTATAAATGCGAAAGTAACTCTGTATGTCTGTCTGTCTGTCTGTCTGTCTGTCTGTCTGTCTGTTACGCTTTCCCGCTTAAACCTCGCAACCGATTTTGATGAAATTTGGCATAGAGATAGTTTGAGTCCCGGGAAAGAACATAGGATAGTTTTTATCCCGGTTTTTGAAACAGGGACGCGCGCGATAAAGTTTTTCTGTGACAGACAAAATTCCACGCGGGCGAAGCCGCGGGCGGAAAGCTAGTAATTTATAAATAGAAAAGATACAGTATATAAAGTGCACTCAATAATTGAATTTTGAATAACAATATTAGTATTATTCTAGCCGTTGCAATAGTTATCTTCCTAGCCCCAAACTATGCAGAGTACTACGAGACGTAGGTAATACGACTACATGGTTTTTCATTAATGTTAAATAAATAATAACTTGCACCGTTTCTATTTTCTTTTGTCATTTTTGGAACTCGTGTATCGACGGTAAAGTGACAATACCGAACGAACGAACTAAAGCAACTGTTTCCACAAAGTTTTATTGCTATCTAAAAAGAAATATCAGTTATGAGAAGAAGTCTACGCGATGATAAATTTTAAGCCTATTGAATTAAGAAAATCGATTTCCTAAAAAAGGTTAGTTAGGAGGTATTGTCACTTCACCGTCGATATGCAACCTTAACTGACGTTCTACTCGTAGTCCAGTTACACACTAACACGTAAGGCAACATTATCTTACATTCATTGACAAAACTGTACGACAAGCTATTTGCTGCAGTATCATAGAGTTGTAATCAATGCGATTTTGCCAGAATACCATAGCTAATAATGCTGTCAGTTACTGATATCTATTGGTGCTTGTATTGTTTTCGGATACCATAGTATTGGCGCAGTCTTTAAACAAAATATTGGCATAGTACGAGTACACCTGAACATGACCTTCAGTTCACGGGACGACTAATGACCGATGGTCTATAAAAACACCTAAAGAATGCCAGAAAAAATGTTTTGTAGGTACGAAAATAATTATTTTGTTTGAAAACTTTACAGTCGTATGTTTCCCTATTACTGGGATTACGATAGATTGATTTGAAATTTACTATTAGGTATAAATGTGCCTACATTAACTAAAATAGTCCAGTATGCCTTTTCATCATCATCATCATCATCTTCTCAGCCATAGGACGTCCACTGCTAAACATAGGCCTCCCCCAATTATTTCCCTTTGCCAAATTAAATGTTTGTCAGTTAACTCAATTTCAAATCATCCGTAAAATTAAATATCCAAAATTCCACTGAAAAAGTGATTATGGCAGTAAATCTAGAGATAAATATTTTCCAAGCAACTCACCTTCCAAATTGCGAATTCGCTTCTCGATTCAAAGATTGTTCATTCGACTACACGCAACATTGAACAGCGATTAAAATTCAAATATTCGAAAAGTTCGATTCGCTATCGGACAAATTACCGGTGATCAGATAGTTGCGACTTTAGAACGAATTCGGGCGATTCGAACTCGACCGGGCGTCGTTATGCAAGCGCGTGCTACTTGTAGAGAATTTTAAGTTTTCCTTTTTAGGTGAATTTTCTTGGAAATATTCATATCAGTTTTGATAAAAATATGCTGAAAGAAGCCGATTCCTTGTCTTTCAAACCTGATTCTTTTTTTTTTACAAAACACTAAAATGCTCTTTAGCTTAACGTTTTTAATATAATTAGATACCTTATGTGCAAAAAACTTAAACTTAAACTTTGTATTTTTTATTTTAAATAAGCTAAACAGTCGTTTTAAGCAAACAAAAACAAAAAAGTTGTAACTTCTTAACGATCAATACGAGGCACTTCGTAAACACTGTAAAAGATTGAAAATAAAATGAAAATAAAACGCACCTTCACTCGTCTGAAAGCCAATGTGTCAACTGGCACATCGTCACTCGTCCGGAGTGTAACAAAACTAACAAACATTGTGTTACAGTCATAATGCGGAATTGGACGTTTGAGTAATGGCTAATTATACGCTTGAGTAGGGGAACAATTAAAACAATTAATGTGTGTTATGCAGTGTGATCAATTGAGAGGACTATCAAAAGGAGAGATGGAATAACATTTGATAAAGTTTTTCTTCATAATTACTGGAAAAACTACATACATTGATATATATTAATTAACTTTATCCGGATACTGTGTAGTTGAATTTCGCCTTATAGGTATTCATTTTGTCGAAAATACAGTGGATTTAATATAAATTTATTTCTTTTCATGCAAATATTTAATCATTTCCATCCGATTACATACGAATAACAATACTTAATCCTGTACAAGATTAATACTGACATAATAATCAAAGGATATTATTTTCAATGGAACTCGGGCATTCACCAAACAAATATAGAATCAACATTTACAATTACTATAAATCGCTTTTCCGCTTCAATTAACATTTTCGTTTTTTCCGCTATTTTGGTAATTACTTTATTGAATTTATTATGACTACTTGTGATAACAAGTTTCCGTTCTCTTTATGTACCTAATTAAAATTTTTAAACATCGTTTAGGTAAAACAACGTTTACAGTTCTTTTCATACAAAATAAACTTATTTATTTTCTTTCCTAGGAAACAGCCAACAAAACGCTAGACAAAAATACAAAAATAAAAATAAACTCATAATAACTGTACACGTGAATGGGGCTCTCTGGACAAGGACTCTCATCTCCACACACTAACAACGAGAGACGTTCACCGGCTTTTTGAAAACAAAGTCAAGTTTTGTTGAAACTACAGCAAAATAAACTCAGTTGAGCACTGAGATAATTTTTATGGGCCCTGCCGCACAGTTATAGAGCAGTTTAGGAGTTTCTAACTATGATTAAGATGAAGAAAGACGACGATAGCTTAAAATAAAATTTACATACATTTCAGCTTTTTAAAATCATAATAATATAAGTATGAATTTAAATTGAAAAATCCCTGCCATCCCGGATTTACAAAACATAATATATTGGAGTATATTTATTAAATATCAAATCCAATAAATGACATAGACCTCCAAGACAATTTAAAATAAGTATACAGTAGAACATAGAACCTTACTCCTTTTTTGAAGTCGATAAGAAGAAACAAGAAAGCGTTACGTACTTTACGTTTTATGTAGCTACATCTTACTGTCTTATTAAATTGTGTTTGTCAGTCTTAATACAGATTATAGATATAATACATACTTAGTAAGCTACTATTTAAAAAGTCTAATTTTTCAAAGTGTCTGCTGCATTAGTTTTCTACCACGCGAATCAACGGTGGACGTCACAGGGGACAAACGCCACTTATCATTGGTTAGCGTATTGAACGCCCTTGCACTCGAACAGTCTCATGTATAATTCACTGGCTCACTGAAAAGTTGTTTTTACAGCTATGAACTTGGAAACCTTAATCTCACCGTCACTTCTTTCCATAGATTATTCAGGCGCTGTGTTTGTTAAAACTGAACCCTTTTTCGGGGTTTTTTCGTCATATAATCAAAGCTTGCCAGTTCGAAACCCGATCAATGGCCTAATTCACGTATTTTGTCACAGTCAAAATCTCGTTGGCTTTTAGAAGTCGAACTATTGAAAAACAGTTCGAAATCCGTATTCACGTGTCATTTCGATAGAACGATTACTCGATAGGATCGCTACTCAGCGATTTGTCATTTGACGTTATTTTTTATCCACAACGAGGAAGCTCTTGGCCTGTATCTCACCTGATAGTAAGTGACGATCAGGCCGAAGGTGGAAGCGAGCTTCACCCGGAATCCGCAACAACGGAGGAACTGGCTATTTTACCTCTAACTGCCGGAACACAACAACGCTGTTAACATTGTTGTTATGGCGACAGACTTAGGTAAGATGGTGGTAGCTAGCCAGGCGAACTTAGAACAAGCCCTACGACCAACCAATTAATCACTTGAATCAAACTTCAAAATAGGTAATGGGTGAATACCGCGGAGGCTACGATTGAATACGCGAAATCGAAACAAAATCGGGCGATTAATTATTTAAGTAACACGTGAAGACGAAAAGTGTCTCCAGCGATCAAATCGCTTGCATGTCTTTGAAGTTTTGTTACGTGAATGATGATCAAAATCAGGAAGCTTAACGTTTTGCACCACCATAACAGGAACTATGTGAGCTGAGCTAGGCATGTTATCTTCTTCTTCTTATTCGTAACGCTCTTGGCAAAGCGGTCGTGGTCACGTTGAGGCGTTGTTCACATCGGTTGTAGAGGCGGATACAACTCTCCGCACGATCTCCCTCCATCTCTCTCTATTGGCAGACTGTCTGGTGCAGTCACATACGCCGTAGGCATGTTTTGCGAGGAAGTTATTTAAGTAGGTATTACAGGATTTACAATACTGCACTGATTTAGATTAATAAATTACAGTTTTTATAGTGAGGTTGGTACGACTGTATCTGTATGCTCTGCTAGAGCCCTGAGCTAGACTAACTATGAATAATTATAACTTGATCAGTAATTACATTAATTTAAAATGCAAAATCCAAATAACATAATCATGCTTAAATGGACTTCACAAATCACAAGTAGGTACTTAAATAAATCTTTCCAACATACTTTTCTTTGCAAATAAATTTTTAAGTTTTAGCGTATTTCGAGTAATATGTTCTGTTTTCTGGTAATTCCTAACCTAAATGTCTTCCAGTGAAATATTGTCAAGGGAGACAGACTTTTAAGTAGCCGGTTAGCGTATCGAGCGCCCTTGCACTTAAACTTCCATAATTTATTCACAATAAATGGCATTCGGTTTGTTTGTTTGACCACCCTGTATTACATTCGGAACTTAAAACGGTCGGTTGAGTTTAATATTTTACCTGCGACATACGAGTGGAGTAAATCTTATAGTGGAATATATTATTATCAGTTGTATTTTACTCTGAGGACAAAATGATTTACATTTATATGGTCTACGGTTTTTCCTTCCTGTTTTAGAATAGTTTGTTTACTTAATTACAATATAAATATAATCATAAATTAATTTAAAAATCATAATATTTCTGGTTAATACTGGTTCGGGACCATAATTTTGCTTAGGTCAGTGCTAAGAAGTATTAAGCACTTTTTTCGAAATTTTACCAGATAATTTACTAGTTTGAGCTAGCTAGTATCATTTCCACACATTTTTATCAATTTAATAACCATCCTTCATAGGAAAAGTCAGTAGTCCTAAAGCATTATCTCCACTTTTCATTCAGTCCATTTTAAAAATAGCAGATTTAGTGTCTTCAATTCAATATTAAGGATAAAATCCCTAACACAAAGTCCTTAACTAAGTAATAACTTGCTAATAAAATATCTTAAAGTAGAACTTTATGGATAACACAAAGTTATTAGAAAACAATAATCTTGTTGAAAACGATAACTTATTGAATATCAAGACAAAGAGCTCAGACAAGCTTACAAAGCACCCCGTGAGGTNGCTATTTGTAAAATAATCAGACTAAATTAATAAAAGTGCCTAGCTACCCAAAGTCATTATTCCACGCGGACGAAGTCGCGGGCACAGCTAGTATTTACATAAAGTGACTTGAGAATTAGGTGCTTGCTAAAACGAATCTTTACATTACAAATACTGCTGAGGTTTTAAGACTTTATTTTTTATTTAGCAGAACAAATTTGGTAAGTATTTGACTGCAATCACACATGTTAAGTGAGATGCAGTCTAGGATAGAATAGGTACATACCTGCCCTGTAAGTGCCTATTCACTCTCGCCTTGAAGAGGCCCGGTTATAGTGTTCGAGTCCCTATCTATTTGCATTCTAGGGCTGATTTGTATCACCTAACTTTGACCGTAAGGGGGCGTCCATAAATTACGTGAGACAATTTTGGCCATTTTTCAACCCCCCCGCCCCCCTTGGTGAGATTTGGTGAGATTTTGCCTGACCCCCTCCCCCACCCCCCTAATCTCACGTGATATTTAATAAAATGCCTATTATGCAATGTTTATGCTTCGAGTCTATTAGATTAGATTATATGAAAAAATCAGATTATATGAAAAAAAAAAATTGTCTTACTAAACGATGGGAAGCTACGGAACCTTACACTGCGCGTGGCACGACACGCACTAGGCTAATTTTTTACGCAATAGCGATGCCGATGACGTTTTTTTTTTAATTTCGAATTTTCTTAATTTCGACATTTATTCTGCATCTTTAGCATTCACAAATGCAGATGGAGGCATTTTTAGTTTAATTTGATAAGACGGTTTAGAATAAATTGTCATTACCATCATAAAAAAAATCATTTGTTTTTACTTCAATAACCCAGTTTTCTGGCAATTTTACTCTATTTCTTGCGAGAATAATTACGTGATATTTTCCGAGACCCCCCCTCTCCCCCACGTGAGATTTAGTGAGGTTTTCGTTGACCCCCTCCCCCCCCTAAAAGTCTCACGTAATTTATGGACGCCCCCTAACTTTGACGATAACCGCTTTTTTTGTTGGAGTATGGCAGATTGTATGATGATGTAAGTCTAGATATTAGCACGTCACTACCTTGTTTAATACACCACGCAATCTTGTATACCCATTCTTATGATACACCATACAAGAATGCATGGTAAATTCAGTGAACTGCTCCTGAATCGAATGTACCTACTACTACTATTTCTATTTATTTATATTAACCGGCAGACAGTGGTGACTGAGTTTGTTGCGGCGCTTCTTCTCAGCACTTGCCAAATGTTGGTCTCGAAGCGCTGGTAGGGTAAAAAGATTATGAGACATGTAGAGGCTCCTTAAGAGCA